GGGGGGGGGGGGGGGGGGTTGGTCGACATATTGGAAACTAAAATAATCAGGCACAAAGACGATCATTTAGGTGCATTTTACACTACGAAAGGATACGCAGTTCTATGCACATCTCATGCCCGTGCTCTGGATGAACTTTGGGTTGTCTGTGGGTCTCAAAAAGCTCTGATAATGCGTCAAAGTGGAGATGGGTATTCATTGATAAGCGTAGCACATACTTGGAAGGAAGATCCTTCCCACGAGTTCCCATGCAGAGACATGGTCTTGAAAATAGTCAGTGGCGCCTCTCCCAGAAAACAAATTTTAATACACTAGATGAATAAATTTTTTATAGCTGGCGTATAAACTTCCAAACAATAGACGTATTGCGTGAGCGCTCGCGTTAATCGTGCGGATAACGTCTGTCCCTGCGTTCCGAGACGCACCCTGTAGCGAGACGAATTATTGGGTTGGGAGAGTATAGGGTACTAAAGGTCATAGTGTAATAAGTAGCTATCTAAGATGTTTATAAAGAGTGTAGAATGATTAGGCAGACATGAAGCATTTAGGCAGCAGGAGGAGTTTCAGGCAGACAAGCTATAAGAGGTGTAAATAAGAAAGTGGGTCAAATAAGAAAGTAGACCCAGCATAACACGAATCTATAGTTTTAAAATTATAAAAAATTTCTTCGCAAGTCTATTGTTAATATATTGTTTTCTTTAACTATTTCTCCCTATAGAAATCACTTAGTTATAAAGAAAAGACTATGGTTGATTATGCTGTCGATCGTTTCAATTCTACCATCGATTACTACTTCGACTAGTCCCCTCTACTAAATTACGACTACTAGAGTCTCTTTAAAATTCGGAGCACTTGAGGAGAGGATCTATAAAGGAAGAATATGCCTTTAAGTTTTAAAGATGCTTAGTAGAGAAAAGAGTACATTCCGGGAGTCACTCCGGTATAAGGAAGGAGGCGACATGTTTTAGTGCTTAGTAATACAAATTCGCCTAACTAAGTTAGTTAGTTACGTTAGCTGCTGCTTGATTACGTAATTCATACCTGAGGCCTCAATTCCGAATCTAGATACCCCGCTCTCGCTCTCCGTGGTTTAGATTCTTCAAGGAACATACCTTTTTTTTATCCCCCTGATAATACCGCCTCCACAAGCTATACCAACAATCCTTCTTGCACTTTGGACGAAATGAGTCAGGCTACTCCGGTGCGGATAATCCTTCGATATCGCGAACGACCTTTTCAAAAGCTTAAAGCAATCATCATTGCTTTCCTTAAATGGCGAGATATCCAACCTATAGAGGACTACTATACACATATATGTTGCAATCCTCTTTCTTCTCACTTATATCTCGTTCTCGATCTCTACTGCAAAACATATCCAAATGTCGATCTCAATAAAATAGACCTCAAAGTCTTGAAAGTCTCAGGACTTGATTCATTGTGCGTTACCTCTTCTACGACCAAACTAAACTAACTATACTCAGTACATTTCAGGATCTCGGAGAGGTAGCTCGCAAGCAGGCTTACCAGCGATCCGTTTCTCTGGATTGGGGGAAAGGCAGCTAGTCTAGTCAGAGGAATTTGTCGGTGTTGTTCCAGCACAGGGATGACAGGATCCCGCTATATCCGTGTCTTGCGCATCGAGACTCAACGGGAGATCTCTCAGAAACCCGGAGGCAGGTTGGCATGGGTCGTCTGCAACCCTTCTTGCGTCTGTACAATATATAATGTGATCTCGATTCATGTGTTTGGTGGGAGTACGCGTGCAAACTGCGTAGGTCTTGCAAGCCCATTCACACATTGCGTGACAGCGAGGGAAGTCTGTTGGAATTGAATGTCGCAGAGAGAATCTTCACACAAAGCGGATCGTGATGCGAGAGACGTAGCTTTGAAAGGAAAGGTGGCTCGAAGAGGGGACGATCTGTATTTAGAGAATTGATAGTCTATTCTACAGCTCTAAACACCGTTCGAAAAGATAACTCACTTGTGGATTAGGATCTTGTTTCAGATATATGTCTATTCTTGCCTGGCCAGAGGATCTACTTCTATGAGTCACAAGGTCGTTTTTGCCTGGCCAGAGGATCTACTTCTATGAGTCACAAGGTCGTTTTTGCCTGAGGCTTATACACGTGATAAGAAACCGGACCCTTGATCGCTTAATTGGGAGGTACCAACCCAAGTGGTGATGTTACATGACAAAGTACTTCCTGATCGCCACGAGGCTGATCACGATTGTTCAGCATCGTGGTGGGGCTTAGAAGCCTAGATTAAACGATTCTGCGAGTTTAAAAGGCGTTAAGAGTTCGTGGTGGTGCTGTAGGTTAGAGGTCCTACTTTACTCCGAATTAACAACCTCCGTAACTTGGCGTGACGGCGACGACGCGATTATAATTTTTGGAGCAGCCAGAGTTTGGACTGTTTAGATATGGACACACAATATGACTGGTACAAAAACATGGGAATTTTCAGCGGATTTACAAATTTATAATTGTTTGTCTCGCTACACAGTGCGTCTCGCTACGTAGGGGCGGACGTTAGTTCTGGTTCATTTCTTGCCAGGTCTCGTTCTGACTGCTCACGTCTGCGACGTGATTCACTATCGTGGAGCGACTGTTGGTACCGACGCTGTAATTCCGCTCGGCTGGTAGTCTTAGTACTCTTTACCATTTATCTGGAATCTCAAAAAGCTGCAGCAGGAAACTCGTGTGTACGAAGAATAACTTGGGCATCACAAAGAACGGATTGTGGAAACGGTTGAGTACTTGATTGGAGAGAGCTATACCTCAAAAGAACCTATACAATATATTGCTGACTGAACATATTTCCAGTGGAATCGTCTACCAATCTACTGAGCCCTGCACAGTCCGAGATTAACGTTAAGCAAGTAGCGGCTCCACGGTCACAATTGGTTACAGAGTGCCCCAGCCAAAGCAATCTTATCCAATTTTTATCGCTCGTCCCAGACCAACCATCAGAACCCCCCTCCTCTCCCCTTCTTAAGCGATACTAGGACGAGGAGAATACACGACCAACAAGACAACGAAAGTCCCATTGCACTCTCGTGGTAAAGCTCGTAGGCACCGGCAACTAACAGCTTCAACACTCAATGAACAACTGCATACTCCACGATCTTCCCCTACATAACTGATATTGTGATATCATTATGTTCCAGAATTTCTATAATCAATGTATCATTCCCGGCGTCTTCATCTAATATGTCCGCCCACTGAAAATTCTCTGCTGTTTGAGTTGGAGGCGAGCGAGAGGATCGCGAGCGAGACGTTAAGTCTGTGAATTGAGATGTTAGTATTTGTGCATCCACAGTAGAATCGGAGTGCGCTTACCACCTGGTGATAGGATGTCTGTCCACCCCTCGATGATATCTTGTCATGGGAATGGGGGTGCTTCCGTTTCCAGTTGGGCGACCTCTCCGCCGAAATCGAAAATTGCTCCAAGATCTCTGAACGCTCAAAATCCACCAACACCACATTGCTGGTCTCGGAATTCCAAAGCACATTCGGAGGTCGTACATCATGGTGCTCCACTCCACATCTCAACATCTTGTCACTGCCCTGCTCGTTTCCACAACCAAATCCCGTCGGGTAGCCAACATCAAATCCCCGCTTGCCTGCTCGCCTGCCCAGGACATAAGAAGAATGTGAACTATTCTGACTCCGACATCAAGAAAGTAAGGGCGAACCAGAGATATGTTCCCAAGATAGACTGGTATAAGCTTTCCTTAAGCTTCGTCTAAATGTCGGTAGACCAGACCTTCGTGCTTCAACTTCGCTGTGAATGCCGTCACGGTCCCCTTTGCAACGAAAGTATATCTATACGGTTCCAAAGTCATTCTGAGAAGAGTACCGCAGGCCCCTTGTTTCCCAAGTGGCTCACATCCATTATTAGGATCTTCGGCGAGTTGGCGTAACATCAGTTTCGCGAGAGACTTCTGCCCCAAGGTATGGTGGGTGCCAGCTCCATGTGTACGATGTGCGATGATGTATATCCAGGAAGTTGAAAGTGAATATTCCGAGCCAGAGGGAGACGAAGGATAGGAGGAATAAGGCTGTGCTAGGACAGAGCACGCTGTAGGGTGTAATATCCTGTATTTGCGACTATTAGTATGCCTTCTGATGTATGGTGTAGTAAAGGGGTTCTCACGGCCTTGCAACGCCCGCTGGTACATCTGCTCGGCCTCCACCAGCTTGCCTTGATCTTTGTAGAGGGTGCCTAAGTTGTTGACTGTATCAAGGGTCGATGTGTGATCTGGTCCAAGGGCCTTCTCTTTGCCTTGCAACGCCCGCTGGTACATCTGCTCGGCCTCCACCAGCTTGCCTTGATCAGAGTAGAGGGTGCCTAAGTTGTTGACTGTATCAAGGGTCGATGTGTGATCTGGTCCAAGGGCCTTCTCTTTGCCTTGCAACGCCCGCTGGTACATCTGCTCGGCCTCCACCAGCTTGCCTTGATTGGAGTAGAGGGTGCCTAAGTTGTTGACTGTATCAAGGGTCGATGTGTGATCTGGTCCAAGGGCCTTCTCTTTGCCTTGCAACGCCCGCTGGTACATCTGCTCGGCCT